TGAGCTTCTGGAGCTGTCTCCTGAAAGCATCATGGATGTCTCGGAATTGGTGGTAAGTGGTTCGCCTTTGTAGGCCAACCGCACTTCCCAAGTACGTCCATGCTCCTGTCAACGGCACTTGTCGTATCCTCTCATCGTTGATCATCAGCCGAACATTGCCATCTTGCTTCCGTTTAGTGGTGCCACTTGGTAGTGTAGCTGAGAGGCAGCACTTTGCGGAGTTGAGCTGGTTCCTGTGGCTCTGCATGTATTCAGTTACATGTTGGTGTAGCCTTCGGAACTGATGGGCATTGTTCGACATGATGATGATGTCGTCTGCGAACATGAGATGATTATGTTGATAGCGTTCTGTTGAAGAACGCATATCGTTGAGTGACAGAGACAGGTCAAGGAGACATATGTTGAATATCATTGGTGACAATGGATCTCCTTGTTTGGTGCCTCTTTCAATCGGAATCATGCCAGTGGGACCATCACGAGTATCAACCCATCCTTTCAAATTGGTGTACATGCTGGTTATGATGTCAATTGCTCGATCGTCCAGACCTATTAGCTCCAGTGATTGCTGTATTCGTTCGTGTGAGATACTTCCGAAAGCATCACCAATGTCGTAGGAGCATATGTAGAGTGGTAGTCGCTGGCGCCGGGCTTTTCGAATTGTAGCCTGAACATAGTAGTCGTGTTCAATACAGCCTGGGGTGTGTTTGACAAAGCCTTTTTGGTTTTTTGGTATTCTAGAGCCAACAGCTTGACGTAAGATGCTGTCAATCACACCAGCATATATTTTTCCTGCAGTGTTTTGCAGTGAAATAGGTCGCCAGTTTGAGAGTTCGTGGGTGTCATCTTTCTTGTGCAGAAGGATAGTCTTGGAGATTCTCCAGTGGTCAGGTGTCCAGCCCAAGCTATAGCAGCATACAAACATCTTATAGAGCCATTTTTGAAGACATGGAAATAGTCCCCACACTTTATATGGTATTCCATCAAATCCTGGTGAGCTAGATTTGTTAAAGTGTTTGATGGCTTTTTCGACATCATCTTCATCAATATCTCTCATGGTGGTAGATCGGAAGCGTTCTTGGACACTGCGGATTATGGGTGTTTCATGTGTAGGACGACTATAGCGCATTGTGAATGATTCTTCAATTGTCTCTTTTGGTATCGGACATGGATCCTGTTGTTGTTCTGTCATGATTTGATCAAAAGTAAGTTTTGCTCTGTGACGATATTGGTGATATAGCTTTGCTGACTCTCTTCCTTCACGAAGGCGATGACGTTGACGAAGGAGCCTTCGTCGGTCATATGGTGACAAGTTTGAAGTTGCGAGGGCGGCATTCAGGTCTTCCTCTGAGTCCAGCTGTTGGAGGTCAGGGAACTCCCGTCTGCGAGTGAAGTCGGCCACTAATGCATAGAGTTCATCATGGAATTGGTTGTTTTTGAAGGTGAGAATTTCTTCATCATCTCCGTCATCGTCTGGCATGTGAGTTTCTACTAGTTCCATAACTGCTAGCTCGAATGATTTTCGACTCTCAGCGTTGGCAAACAGAGGCATTCGAAGGATACGTCTTGAAGCACGTTGGTGGATGAGCGAGGCGATGGATGGGTATTCACCGCGGTATGATGGTCGCCATGGTTGAATATCAGACGTTGTTTCTGGCATTGTTGACCTCGCTTCATCATCAGCTTCTCTGTTCGGTGAGGAGATGATAACAATATCCTCGGTGGTCGATGAGAGAACAGGTCCCTTTAGTTCCTTTTCACTTCTTGTTAATTCTTCCATTACCCTTTCAATTGGAACATCTCCAGCGAAGGTTGAAAGGGACGAGCTGCGAGTCATCGTGGGATCGCCTTTAGAGTCTTTTGCGTTGGCTCCTTCAGAAGAGATGAATTTGGCTGCCATTGCGGACGACATTGGTTGATTTAGGACAAACGGTGATGCATGTATGCTGTCGGGTGCTTTACCCTTGGACAGGCGTTTGGTAGCGGGCAATAAAAGCGGTGAACAGTCTTCTCGTTGTCTCTTAACGCAGGCAGTGGCTGGCTGAAAATCATCATAGTCATCAGAGTCGTCAGAGTCAATGTCAATTGTGCACGTCGATTCTTGTGGGGGTGGACTGGTTATTGGTGTTCGTTGATGAAAGGTATTGTTGTCGGTGTTGTGCCTGATATAATTTTTGCGTATCAAATATGGGGACTGTGATATTGGTGATGGTTTTGGGGTAGCTGTCATATCAGGGACGCTTACACCTTGCTCTTGTGTTGTTTTGAGTCGTTGGATGGCTTTTTCAATGACTTCCGGAGAGCGCCAAAATCGTTTGGTGTGTAGAAATTGTATCACATTAGCTGTTGACCAGCCCATAGCGCCAATTGCTTCACGTACAATTTGTAGTTCATCGGTTTGAAGAGGTTGGTTGTATACACTGTTAACAGCATCAACTAGGCCAGGGTGGCTTGACAGGTGTGATAGAAAATTGTTTGTGGGAACAGAGAGGTTACAACCCGGACAGTTTTGTTGATCGTTTGGAGGACCGTTCGTACAATTGTACTTTTGATGAAAGGTATGAAGCCGTTTATCAGTATCCAAAAAGGTGCAGTCTGAGTTTG